TCAAAAAAAAAAAAAACGGGAAAAAAGGTGGGGGGTTGGGGTTAAAATTATCGGTCCAATTTCGGTCCATATACACTGGCAATTTGTCTCCTGGCTCTGCTCAAGGTGCTGGTGGCGACCTTTAAAGTCTATATGGTTTGGATCAGCATACCTGAAGGACTGCCTACTCCCACATGAACCTATCGAAGCACTAAGGTGATTTTTTGAGGGTCCTCCTTTGGGTACCCCTGCCTTTTTGAGGTTAGATGGGTAACAACCCAAGAGAGGCCTTCTCAGTCATGGCAACAAAATTTGGCACTCCCTCCTCAGAGATATTTGTCCTCTTTTATCAGTGTCTTTGTCAGTAGGTGAAGAAGACTGTTTTGTTTTGTCTGGCATTGCCTCAACAACCCATCCTTTCTATGTTTTAATTGCTGAATCTGTTCATTTATTTGGTTGGTTGGTTGGTTTTAAATTGGTTTTATAGTAGTTTTATTATAATGTTTGGCTTTTAATTGTGCTTTGGTGGCCCTAATTGGGCAGAAAGGCAGAATATAAATCCTGTAAACACTACTAAATAACTGTGGAAAAGTCTGACATTCTAGCCGCCACACCACAGTTGTCCGTCTCACTTTATAACTGTATTTTTCCCCACTGTGAGGCAAGCAGCAGTTTGAGGAAACACGATGTCTGAGAAAACCACCAGGGAGGAAAGGGTTAAATGCCCACTGTTCTCACTGTTGCTCCTGACAAATTGGCAGCTCCCCACAGTGTCAGCAAGCTGCCAATGTGTCTTTGCTATATGTATGAGGCATGCCTAAACCCCCCTCCAACCCCTATTGTCAACCTCCCCCCTATTGCCATGGTAACGGTAATCTGCTCTTGTGCGCAGGTCCACCCTCACCCTCATGCGCTCATCTTCTCCTCGACTGCATTCCTTTCTATGTACGCTAGTCTTGCTTTGATGGAACGTTATCAACCCAAGGCCACGGGTGGTGTGCGGCAGGAGGCTTTTGCTTAGTCTGTAATGAATATGTAGTGTGGGAATAGTCTAATTGTTTAACTGTATAGAACCGTTGCTTCTCAGGGTTTGGGCACGCGGTGTGCCTTCTAAGCGGGCGCGGGAACCATATCTATTGGCTAGTGTAATTATGAACTTGCTTTAACCTATCTGTCAAACGCTCACCTCGTTATTCTGAGCAGAGAATCTGTTCTAAGTGCTTCATGGCTTCAATAAAGTAAAACCTTCCTGCAAGTGTGTACTTCATTGCCTGCTGTGGGGTCTGACACACAGGTGCATTTCAGGAGATGGGGGGGGGTCAGGAGATCAGGCACAGATCTGCCATACAAAGTGTAGTCTGGTCTGCAGGAGGTATGTGGTTTGCAGCCAAAGCCTCCATAATCGCAAACAAACAAAGCAACAAACAAACCATCAGCAGCCGCAGTCAGTTATTTTCTCCTTCGATGGTAATGCAGTTTTGTTTTCAAATAGAGGCGGCATCACACAGCTGCCTAAACTGTAAGTCAAATAATCGCAGTGCCCCCTGGCAGAAGCAACCTACATGAAATCTGATCTCTAAAGGGAAAAGAACTGTTTTTTTGGCCGGGTTTTTATGCGCTTAATCAGAACAATTGGCTGTTTTACTATAATGACAGTGAAAAGTAATGAATTTGCCTTAGTCAGAAAAAATATTAGCATAAATCCTATTTTAATGGTGGGCATGGCCCGCCACAGTTAACTGGTACTTAATCGGGTGTTAAATGTATGCGGAAATTTAAGCTGCAGACTTGCACTGCAGAAGCTGCTGAAGGAAGATGAAATGCAGTCCAAATGAAAGGTGAAATAAATACTTTTATTACATTCTTCTCTCTGGTGGGTTCCACTTTAAAATCCTTTCAGAGTGTATAAACTCTGTTAGGAATAGGTCCCCTAAGAGGCCCTTTGCAGATACACAGAACTCCCACTGCATGAGACTGGAGATCAAGGCATGCTCATTGCGCAAATGTGGTGTTGCATAACATCCTCTCAGAGGTTCCAAGAGGAGAGGTGATAAAAGAGAGAGAGAAGGGAGGGAGCTGTCTTTGAGGACCCATCTTGAAAGGTTCAGCTGGTGTGAGACTCCTTTTTTTTGTTTGCCATCAAGTCACAGCTAACTTATGGCAACCCTGTAGGGTTTTCAACCAAGAGATGTTCAGAGGTGGTTTGCCATTGCCTGCCTCTGCATCCTGACCCTGGACTTCTTTGGAGGTCTCCCATCCAAACACTAATCAGGGTGGACCCTGCTTAGTTTCCAAGATCTGACGAGCTCAAGCTAGCCTGGGCTAGCCCCGTCAGGGGACTCCTGTGACATGGGTGGCAACGTGGAACCTTGCAGAACCCCGTCAACCAGTGGCTAAGATTCCTTCAAGGTAGGACCAAAATCACCACAAAATGGTGCCACCAGAGTGATCCCATAACCAGGTCTGAAAACACTGGAAATTATCCAAAAAATGTACACTGTTAGAACTGGAATGAAAGAATGAGCATTGAGGACCTTTTTTAATGAGTGATCTGAATCTCTGCTGTATCCACTGTAGTGTGTGTGTGTATAATTAGCTTGCTATAAAATAGTCCTAGGTCACAAGGATAGCCTTTGGAAATCCCAAGCCTTTAGAAACAGGCAAGGGTTTTTTCCTAGTCCCAAACCCTGTATCTCCTACCCTATCTCTTCTGGAAAACTAGAATTTACAAGGCAGTGAAAAGTCATAAGCAAGAAAGCTAAAAGAAAAATAAAAACTTTATAAAATGACTGAGGCCAGGTACGAGTCCAGTCCTGCTACATGTATTGCAGTCTTTTTCTTTGTTCAAGGCATGGTTCAAAGACAGAGTCAGGTCATGTACCTTCCAACAGAGAAGAAACCAGAAATTCAGCCATGTTGGCTGGACCTCTGAAGAGCTCTCGATAGGGTGCCAGCCCCTCCCAGGTGGAGGTGAGGGGTCCCCTGCTGCCAGGCCCTGCCCCCCCCCCACTAATCAGCTAGCTGGAGGGGGACTTACCAGGAGAGGGCGGAAGAACCAGGCTACGTCCCTGGCAACATCATTTCCAGTGTGCACCTGAAGTAACATAATGTCACTGTGGTATATAGGCAAAAACTCTACAGTAGAAGCCATTTTTATCATAGAGTTTTTGCCTAAATACTTGATTGTCACAGTGACATCATTTCCAGTACACGTCAGAAGTGACGTTGCCATGTTACTGGCGGTGTAGCTGGGCCTCCCACTCCTGGTAAGTTCCCCCATCACCCATCAGTTGCCAAGAGGGACCTGGCCAACCCTCGCTCTGGAGGGCTCAGAGAACAATTGTGAGCCCAGTGAACCCTTTGTAATCACAACTGGCTTCTCATGAACAAAAGACCTAGGCAATTCTAATTCTAAATTTTACATTCCCTGGGAAACTGGACTTGAAAATACACAGGACTGCCAGAAAAGCATAGCCTTAGACAAGGGCCTAACTACATGTTGTACTTCCCTGGGTCCCACTGACAGACAAAAGCCCTCTGGTAGTAGAGTGGTCTGGTAGGAAAGGGAAGAATGTTTCAGCAGACCTTAATGTTTATTATTTAAGCATATCTCAGGAATTTGGCAACTTTTACTGGATGGGAGGTGAAGTAAAATTATACATTCCCAAACCAGAAGGGAAGGTTTAAAGGGGGGGGGGGACTCTTGGCTTTGGTTGTTGGAGTTGGATCAGCCCTGAGCAGTTTTAAATGGCAGCCAATAAACACTGAGATTTAATTCATATTTTGATACATGCATATATAAATGAAGGAGCAAAGCTGGGCAAATCTGAAAGGGAACTATATAAAAGTGGGTCTGCAAAAAGTCACCTGGGAATCTGGAAGTATTAATTAATGACAAACTTCAGAATTCATGTGTTAGTAACAGCACCCACAGAACTATTATGGCCTGTAGTTCAGACAACAATGTTAAACATTGCATAATGACTCCTGCAAATCACCATACAGTGGGATATCTATGGATTTTGGCGTCCATTTCAAACTCTGTAGCCACCATGCTATCAACAAGCACTTCTGGAACCACAGACTCCATTTTGCATTCATTCCTTGAGATAGTCTAACTTCACCACCCTCTGAAGAAACAGAAGGTTTTTCTGAATCTTCACACCTCAAGTTTTTCTTATTTCACATCTTATTTCTGAATACTTACAGGTAATTTTCATTTCTTAAGCCACAAATTGACAGATTTGGGTCAGAGCCAGCGCCCAAGGTAATTTAGGCAGCCCCTAGAGTCCTGACCAAATGTTAATCCAGCTATCGGGAAATTAATATCTGTAGATTCAATCCTATGAAAAGGGAAAATGCATTTCTATGTTATACCTTTTACGGATTTTTAATGTACAATATATGTCCCTTTTCAAACTACCTTAGTATTCCTTTTTAGTAACGTTGTTTTCATTATTCTTAAGAACAAACTTAACCTATGTAGAAATAGAGGTAATATTCATGTGCAGTCTGGCATAGTTGTGTGTTGTCCCAACTAGAACTGGGGGCAGTGGTAAGGATAGCCTGGATCTGGCTTCAGTGAAGCCCACTACCACATACAGCTCAATGTCACATAGGCATCAACTTCAGGGGGGCTGAGGGATGCAAGCCCCTCCAAACTTTTCCAGCCCTCCCCCCAGCAACCAGCACCCAGACAGAGCCTAGCCATCCCCACCCCACCCCACTTTGATAGTGGAGTTTTTTTTCCCTCCGCTTTCTGAGACTTTGGGTGGGTCGGGACTGGGAGGGAAATCAGGGCACTTCCTGCCCCACCCCCAGCTCCCAGCAGCCCTCAGTTCAGCTTGGAGGAGCTGGAGCCTGGAGGCTGCACATGGAGTGGCTTTGTAAGGGGGGGGGTCGGCCGCAGGAGTAGTTTGCTCCCTACTCCCTAGCCTATGCTGCAGAGACTCAGAGCCCCTGGGATGGGGGGAGGTGTACCTCTTCGCTCTCTGGTGCCTCCGCCGCAGGGAAGCTGGGCCATGCATGCTCCAAAGTGTGTTCCCGTTAAGGTGAGTCCCGTGCGCTACGTGCACTAATTTTTACTCCTGAGCACACAGCTGTTTGGCTGAGTTCAGGATGATTAAATTCTCTGGCTGCTTCCTTCCCGGGCTGCTGCAGTCACAGTTTGCTCAATTGTGGGGGGCAGGGTGGGAGCGCTACAAAGCCGAATCCCTCTCCTTCCGCTCTGGAAGGAGAGAGAGAGCACGCCAGAGGTACAAGCTTTCCTGTGGTTTTGAATTTACAGTAATTAGACTTGGGGGGGTGATACTATCATTTTCCATTTGTTTTCCATTTTGTTTTAAAGTTTACATGTTTATTTATTCATTTCCCGATATATTTGTGTGCATTCATGCCATAGCTTGGCTCAGTTTCTTCTCTAGTTGTTGCTTTCCCCTTTAAATTTTGACTCTTGTCTCAGTGACCGCTAAGTTTCTCCATGGTTTTATAAAACGGAAGAGTGACCCTGATCATATTAATGATTCTTAATTTATAAGTCTAAAAACTTAAGTTTAAAAGTTTAGAATGCCAGGCATCTTTTGTATGGTAAAATCTAGCTTGTGAGAACTTGAGTTAGGCCTGACATAGCCACGACTATCTATTTTATAATTTCTTTTGGATTGTATTATTGGTAAATGCTTCTAATATTGTATGCCAATAAAAGGTATTTGAATTGAAATTGACTCTTGTCTCAGCTGCAGAGTTTATTCCTTTGTTGCCCATTGTTGCCTTACTGATTTATTGCACTCAGCTGCTTGATTTCTTTACCTTTTCTCTGTTATACAAATCCACCCCCACCCTCCCTTTGGGTGCCCTTGAGTGGTGAATAGGGTGAGTGGGACTCTTTCACTTCATTTAATTTTACACTTGCCAAAGCATCTCTCTCTCTCAGAGTTTTCGATATTTGATTTTCTTTCCTCTGCATTGGAGATTTGATATTGAGGTTTCCCTGCAGCTAGAACGAAGAACAGCTTAAAGGCTTTTTTTTTGGGGGGGGGGGTTTGAACAGGAGGCGTCTTTTAAGGGGGAGAGATGTTGAGGGATTTGGGGCTGACTATTTTACCTTTGGTTTTAGCTGGGGGTGTTTTATATTATTACTTGAAGCCGCCTTGAACCAAGATGAAAGGCAGGATATAAATATTTTAATTAAAAACCATTAATTAATCAAATTTGCATGCCAGGGATTGAGAGTCACTGGGAT